CAGCAGGAAGGTTACGTGGGCCCAAGGTGGGGCCGCTCAGCTTTCAGCAGCTCAGCCCTTGGGAGCAGATGAACCGGGCTCCTAAATCAGAGCCCTGTTCGAAACCCCAGGAGGTGGTTTTCAGTGGAAAAGGAGCAACACGGGCCACGGCGGGTAAAGCTCATTGCTTAGCTGCGGGTTCCCCACTCATGAGAATGGCTTTTTACTGCTAGTCCCAGCTGAGCTGCATGCACACGGATGTGCTCTTTGTGTGCGTGGCAATATGATTTAAGGGAGCTCTGGGAGCATCTGCACCCCCTGCTCCCCAAGCACCCTCGAGCAGCTCCCCCTTGGCGGCGTGGACGAGCTCTGGGAGTCCCTGTTGGCAATCCCCTGGGAAAGGAAAAGCAACAAGCATTGCACTGAGCCCCGTTATCTCCTGTTATTTTTAGCACAGGATTGGCTTAGGCTCTTATGAGTCAGACTTGGGTTTTAGATGCTCTTGTCATTAAACTCCTCCACAGGCGAGGATGAGCTGGCTGCTGCCGCACATGATGATGGAACAGACCAGCCTGGGCCGCTGGTTTCCAGCCTAGTTAATACTGGGCCCAGTCTCAGGGTCCAGCTGAACCGTGCTGGATCCAGCACGGATCCAGCACGGTCCCATCAGTCACGTTTGTGCTTTCCCAGTCCTGGGCTGCCTGGGGCCAGCTTGGCCTCAGGCATAACTTAGAGCAGCCCCCAGGGCAAGGTCACCCATCACATTGGCCATTGCCTTTTCTTGCTGTCTGGAGCAGCTAACTGTGGGAGCAGAGCACCCCACGAGGATGCATTTACCAAAGGCAAGATCAGGGCATGGCTGCAGCAGGTCCGCATGCATCAGACCGCTGTGCATGGGCAGCGGTACCACCTGAGTGCCGAGGATGTGTCCAGAAGTCTTGGGACCTGATATCTGCTTGTCAGGAGCACAGGATATAGCAGAGGTGGCTCTGAGCAGAGAATGGGTGCGCCTGGGGAGACGTGGCCCAGCAAGCTGCAAATAGGGTGTTTTCTTCTCCTGGAAAGGAATCACTTGGCCAGCTAGCAAATGCTCTTGTGATTCAGCTAGGATGCTCACCTTGCACTTGTGTGGGCAGTGATGCACATGTATGTGCACTGGGGGGCTGTAATGGCCAGCCCAGGATGTACTGCTTCATGGCAATACCCCTTTCTGTGCTATTGGCTTTCCATCCACCCACAAGGCTTGCTGGGACTGCAAAGTGTTGGGTCCTTTGGTTACATTGCAAGGTGCTCTGAGAGCTTTGTTTTCCCCGCAGGACGGGATTTTGCTGGGGGCCGTGGGAGCCTACGACTGGAACGGTGCAGTGCTAAAGGAAACCAGCAGCGGGAGAATCATTCCCCATCGGGAATCGTATCTCCAAGAGTTCCCCGAAGAGCTGAAGAATCACGGCGCCTACCTTGGTAAGGAAATAGCACGGAGGCTTCTATATCCACAGCTACATTCATGACTTGGCCAGGGTTTTTTGGCAAGCGCTGCCCTAGGCTTGCTGCTAGCAGATGTTAATGCTCATGGAAATATCAGTTTAAGTCAAATGCAATGGCAGGTACTCAGCTGCATGGTGCCTACAGGGGTAAGGCAGGGCTGTGTGAGATATATGCCACCCATCACACGTGTATGCAGCACCACTGAAGCCTGGGCCTTTGGAAGGATCCAGAGGAAAGCTAATATCTGCAGGAGTATGCACACCATCCAAATGTGAGAGCTATTCAAATGTGGTTCAGGTCATCTCTAATCCATCCTGGGGGGATTTAAATGACGAAACGGCATGGCTAAAGAGTGGTGTTGTACCCGTGATGGTCCAGAAATTATGCAAAAGGCAAGCAGTTCTTAGGGTGATCTCTTTTATTGGAGCAGCTGCATAGTTGGGATAGAGTTAGACAAGCTTTCGGACGCAAGGCATTCTTCATCAGGCCTGAGCAGCAAAAGGCAACGCAGCGTAGTAAAAAGGAGCTTAAGAGCGGGGAGAGAAATTCCCAGGGGTAGCAGACAAGCGACAAGCAGAAGATAAGAAGCTGATTACTGGGAGAAGGAGGCCTATCGAAAGGGAGGAGGATCATTCTCACCTTTCATGTGTGGGGAGAATTCAGAATCAGGTAGGTTATAATGAGCGTATCTACACGTGCATTTAAGCACACCTACGTTTTAATGCGCGTTAAGCAGGTTTAAGCAGGCATCTGCGCATACAGGTGTTAAAGTGTATTAACGCTGTGTGTAGACTGACTTGGAGCTAAAATTAATCCCAAGTCTGTCCACATACACAGCATGAATGCGCTTTAATGTGTCTACACATGCGTTAATGTGCTTTAACTATTCTCGCCAAATTTGATACCTGCATTTTCAGATATCAACTTTAGGCATGATTAGCCCCAAATCACCATTTTTAAAGCACATTAAGGGCATGCACATGTAGAAGTGCACCCTAATACACCTTAAATTCAGGCTAATGTGCCTTAAAGCATCTCAGGTAGACGCACCCAATGTGTCATAAAACCAATATCAGTGTCAAAGGCACCTTATAATATACCTGGTTCCTGAATTCTGCTACCTCCAGGCATTTCTCAAAATTACAGCTCCTGGATATGCCTATTAGCCAAGTGCAACCAAAGGCTAATAGGCACCAAGCAAAGATCGCATTCATCTGTCTGTGGTTGTATCTGCCATGCCTGGCGCGGCGGTGGCAAGGGTCTGCCTACACTGCAGCGGCAAAGCTCTCAGTCATGCAGATAAGCCCTGCCTACGCTGTCATGCTTTGCACACATCAATCCCAAAATGAACTGGATAAGACGTGCCTGGGGTAAGTCATTCCTGGGCCACTCCAAGTCACTCCTGGGCCACTACTGTTGAATGCATGAAGCCCTTAGCATGCTGTTGGCCCCTCTTACAGGGTCCCTGTTGCCTTCATTCCCAGCTGGATGCACGTGGAGCAGGAGCCCATTTCCTGGCGGAAATGTGGTAGCCGCCTTCTAAGAGGCCCACGGTGGCCGTACCTAGACTGCAGGGTGCAGTGACATGGCTGTCTTCTTCAATATCCCCATTTGAAACAGCTGAGGAAAGCAGAGCTCTTTAGGAAAGGCAGCCCCCATACCTCATGTGAATAAAACTGCTGGCCCCAGGCCCAGCGTAGGCAATATTGTGTCCTGGACCAGTGACAGTCTTGTGCCTTGTTGGGGACCCTTCATAGGGAGTCCTCCAGTGTAGAACAACTTTCTGGCAGAGGAAGTCATAGCGGGGCCAGGCCAAGGATGTTGGGGCATCTGACTTCCAGCAGCTAGAGCAGACCCCATGCAATATAGAGCAGCCAACCTCCTAGGATTCAACAACTCCAGGGTCTAGAGCTATCACTGCACACGTCTTGGCCCGTGTCAAGTGTAAACAAGCAGGGTCCAGCACCTGGCCCTATATATTTGCTGGACACAGCTACATAGGCTGGAGCATGGGGGCAAGGGGTATTCAATGAGCAGGTCTCTGATCTACAGGCCATCCCAAACCTCACTGAGGCTGATGGGTTCACTGGCCACCTTTGCCTTGTGCTGAAATAGTAAATGCCATGTCTAAGGCACACGGCTGCCTGTGCCCCATCAGAACCACTCGCTACAGTAGGGTCCAGCCAGACTCACCAGTACATGGGAGCCTCGTAGGCTCTGCTAGCTCACATGGGATGCAGTCTCCATCCCAATCCCAGCCCCTAAACCCAAGGTCAATCCAGCTCCTGCCTTCTTGACCCTCTGTGGTTGATAACCGACCTGCTTGAGGCTTGTGGGGAGAGAGCCCCTTTCAACTAGCCCATGCAATGAGAATACCTGGGACAGCGGCGCAGCGAGGCCTTGACCCTCTTTCCTTTGTGCTTGGATCCTGGTTTGCAAAAAAAAAAAAAAAAAAAATACAGGTCCTTTTTCTTTGCTTAAAAAATACCCTTCCCTGCTTGCCGCTTGGTGCTGGAAACCCCTGACCCCCAAGGTTGAATTGGACCAGAACACCCATCTCAGCCAGCGATCTCCACACCTGTACACCCATCTGAGGGCTTTCTCTGGTGCCCATGGCCACCTCCTTTCAACCTGTCTTGCTAAATTCAAGCAACCCAGAGGTTTCACCATCACCTTCTATGACATGTAGTCCCATCAGTGCTGAGGGCTGTGTGATTCAGCCTCTAAGTAAACCCCTACTGAATGCAAGAGGGAGACCAGTGTCACCCTGGCCCCAAAGCAGGTGCTTCAGGTATGTTTTCTATACAGCAGAGGCCCTCGGGGGCAGATTCGGAGTAGCCTGTTGCAGGTGCTCCAGCCTGGGAAAGGATATCGAAGCTTAGCAGACTCAACCCCTTTGAACGCCATCTAGGATGCCCGCTGGACCTCTGCAGTTTGCCTTTCAGCATGTCAAGGTACCAGTGATCCCCAGCCCAACATAGGAGTAAATGGTTGGGCTCACTGGTTGCTGGTTACTCCTGGTCGGCTCTGGCCAAGCTGTGCCCCATAATGAACACATTTCATATTTCTCAACCCAGTTATCCCACCCTGTTCTGCACCCCATGCACCATGCCCACAGCAGAGCCTTTCTGCCATGTGCTCCCAGATGTTTTCCCCTCCTCCATAATGAGGAAGAGTTCAATATTCCTCCCAGCCGGTTATCAGTGATAAAGGCCATCTGTCCTCTTCGGAGGGCGCTGCAATCTCATTGCACACACACAGTGATTAATAAGGCAGAGAGCAGCTCTGCTGTCTTCAGCCTCCTTCCCTGTGTCACCTACACTTTCCACCTTTCTTTGGCATAATGAAAGTGTTACGATCCCTCCTTTAGACCAAGTCAAAAATGCCTGCCTCCTTCCAGAGCAGGGTAAGCCTGGGAGAAGGGTTTTGGCACACTGAATGGGAGTGTTGGTACCCAACCAACCCAGACTATAGGCTTTGGTGTCACTGTACATCAAAGTTACATTTACAAATAATTTATAGGGGGCAGGCCAATAAATGGTCAGTACATGCTGGAAGCATGCCATGATCCACATGTGTTATGGATGATTATACAGCCATCAGCAGACGGGGTTGTAGATGGTTAGAAACACACTACCAATCTGTTGGTCTGTAGCGATTGATTAACCACTTATTAAAGCACCTGTTAATCATCTATCAACTCTGTGTAGGCTGAATATAAAGTGTGAGCTCACATATGTACCATGGGGTTCATGAACTGAGGTTCACCACAGAGTCACAAGTTTTATACTACCCCTAATTTTGATCTCAAATATCCATAGACATTTTTGGGGTTGTGAAACCTTTTCAGAGCTGGTGTTTGCTAGTCAGCTGTGGGGAATAGTGCGTTGTGCTCTGTACAAAGGTAGGGTCATGGTTTGTATAATTCTGCATAAAGTAACTTTGGGTGTGTACACACGTACTAAGTCGGCTTAAAATAAAGCAACCTAACTAAGTCAACTTAAATTAAGCCACATTGGAGCATACACATGTACAGCTTCTTAACATGGTGGCAGCCATCTTGTGTGTTAAGTTGACTTAACTAATGCAACACAAGATAATATACCTCTGAGATGTATTGTCGTGCACTGCGTTTAATTCAGCTTTGCTCCCCATATGTATGTACGCTGTGAGAGTTAAGTCGACTTTAAAAAGTTAAGTCAGCTTAACTGTCAGAAAGTTAGTACGTGTGTACGCACCCACGATTATCAGGAACTGAAATGGACTTGCTTCTACTGCCGTGTTATTCTGCCTTGGATTTGCTGGCAGCTTCTAAGTCTTGCATAGTTTTAGCACTAATCTCAATTGTCAAAGGGCTGGGATTAGAGCCCGAGCAGCAAATGCAGAGGCACTTCAAAGCACAGTGTTAAGAGTAGTCAAATTTGCTTGAATGACTTTATCTTTCGAGAAATCGTGGATTCCAGTTTGCTGATCTGGGAAGCAGCCAGGGCTGTGTTAGCAGCCTGCAACTAATCAAATGCAGACTGCCGGTCAACAGCGCTGCAATAAAGGAAACGTTTCAAAGAGAGGAGCGGGCAGTGAAATGATAAGCATTGATTCCATCTGTCTAGCCAGAGCCAAGTAAAGAACTTAATCAGGACGCTTATTTTTCCAGCTAGAAAACACAACATGCGATTGATTTAGCAGCTTTCTGGAATCCAGATTAATCTGTGTCATTTGTTATGTGTACTTGGCCGGTGCCTGACACTCCAGCTTTGCTGCTGTTTGTAGGTTGATCCCAGGTTTGTGTTGACTTTCTTTCCCTGTCCCAGGTTACACCGTCACCTCTGTGCTTTCACCGACGCACGACCGGATTTATGTAGCAGGAGCCCCCAGATTCAACCACACTGGGAAAGTCATTATTTTCACAATGCACAACAACAGAAACCTAACTATTCACCAGTCCCTGAAAGGAGAGCAGGTAAAAACAATACTGAAAGATCTCCAAAGCTTGACTTCTGCAAGACAAAATGCACTCTAATATGTGGCTGTTGTCACTAGTCACACTGAGCCCTGCCGGGTTTCTCATCCATCAGACCTGCAGGACATACGGCAGTGCCTTTATCTGACATAAATCAGCAGAGATCCATTGGCTTCGTTGCAATGACGTCCATTTACATCAGCTGTGGATCTGCTCCAAAGGGTTTGGGGCAGCATCTTGCTCTATAAGGGTAAAACAAGACTTAAGGGGAAAGCTGAAAGACCTAGGGTTATTTAGTCTGGAGGAGAGAAGACTGAGAGGGGATTTGATGACAGTCTTCAGCGACCCAAAGGATGATTACGGAGAGGATGGAGATGGGTTTTTTTCTGTGGTCAGAGGGGACAGGACTAGGAGCAATGTCTTCAAGCTGCTTCAGGGGAAACAGCTTGGAGATGAGGAGGGGTTTTCTGACTCAGGGGGTGGTGAAGCATGGGAACAGGCACCTAGAGAAGCTGTGCAATCTCCATCCCTGGACGTTTTCAAGAGCAGGTTGGGTAGACACTTGTCTGGGATGGTCAGGATGATCCTGCGTTGAGCAGCAGCTGGGCTAGTTGACCTTGTGAGGTCCCTTCCAGCCTGGCTTTCCAATGATCCTATGTTTCTAAAGTTTCTGACCAGGATTTCACCCCACCACACTTGACCCATAGGACTGGGATATTTCAATGAGTGCTTTTAGTACCTCCATTTCCCCTGCTGCAGTTGTGAAGAGAGAAGTGTGCCCTTTCTCTCCCCGGTGCCCTTGTCTCTCTCTTTCTAGCACAGCGCAGTTACCTGTGTTAATCTGAAGTCAGGCAGAAGGCAGGACAGAGTTGCACCTGATAGACTAACTAAATCGGGGAGGCATAAGTCTTTGTAAGCAACAGCTCACTGACAAAGGATGCATTTCACCCGGTGCAAATTTTGCCCCGAAGCAGAAAAATTCTCTGGCACCTTCTGATCAGGTTGGCTAATTATACATAATCCGGTAAGAATTGTCACCAAGGAATATGAGAAGACAGGACAGTCTCTGGCAGCTGGGCAGAAAGCAGCCGTGTTGTGAGCACCCCTGTAGGGAGGCCCTGAGGTTTCCTGGGCTCCCTGGCCGTGAAAGAGCCATAGCCTTCATCTCCAGATCTGAGCTTTCCCCATGTTCGGGTAGGGCTGGGGCCAGAATCGTGGCTGAGATCTATGGTATCCCTTCAACAGTACAGGATCAATCCCTTCAAACCTGTCTGAGCAATGACTGTGGGACTCAGCTGCATGTGAGATTGCCCCAGCGAGACAGTGCTGCCTAGCAGGTGGATCACAGATCCACAGGCTCTCAGGAAGCCTTTTGGGTTAAATGTCCATATATGATAGATAGATAGATAGATAGATAGATAGATAGATACCATATTTCAAAGTGTATAAATCAGGTTTTGAAGCCCAATTTTTGTGTCTTAAAAATCAAACTTGACTTATACACCGTGCCAGCTCCGCTCGTAGAGGATGGGACCATGCCAGCTGAGCGCCGAGCTCGGCCCTGTCCCTATATATTTATACACACAAGATAATATACATATATATATTTATACACACACACACACACACACACACACACACACACACTTGGACTAGCTGTTCTTCCACAAGAAAATATAACACCAAGCGGATGCAGCAAGACCAGCGAAAGGGACCAGGTTTGATCGTTAATCTTCTAGCATTACTGTTTCTTTCCTGGACATCTGTCTAGACGCTGCGTCCAAATGCCTGCTTCCAGCAGACTGAAAATCCCACTTGCCCTGAGTGTGTTTGTCCCTGCTGTGTTCAATCACTTCAGAAGCAGAAGGAGGTGGAGAAGTCAGGCGATACCCTTATTTACTTTCCGATCACTTTTTCCCTACCCTTTTTTTGCAGATCGGCTCCTACTACGGAAGTGAGATAAATTCTGTTGACATCGATGGTGACGGCATCACCGATATCTTGTTGGTGGGAGCTCCCATGTACTTCAGCGAAAACTGGGAGAGGGGGAAGGTTTATGTCTATGTTTTAAGACAGGTAAGTCCTCAAGCTTTGTCCTGTTTTGGGGGGGGGGGGGGGGGGGGGCCCCCACGGCGGGCGGGGGTGGGTGGGTGGGGGGGGGGGGGGGGGGGCAGTCCCCTCTGGCTTTGGAGGTCCTCGGGTCACTGAGTGGAGCTGGTGTGTAGATAGAGGTACAAACAGCCTTGATGCTGCCCGCTGGGGACTCTCAGGCCTTTCAGAGCCTGTCTTGCAGAATTGCACCCATGGTCGAGGGCACTGGGCAAAACTTTCATCCAGTCACTGAAGCCTGTAGTTGGATGGGAGCAAAAATACACATCAGCACAGGCCTCTGTGGCAGCATTGCCTGATTCCCTATTGCTTCCTTGGGTGCATACCCATGTACTAAGTCAGCTTAAAATAAAGTGACTTAATTAAGTCACCTTAAGTTAAGCCACATTGGAGCATACGCACATACAGCTCTTTGACATGGCGGCAGCCACCTTATGAGCTAAATTGACTTAACTAATGCGACACACCTCTGAGGTGTATTATCTTGTGCCGCATTGAAGTCAGCTCTGTTCCACATACATATGTACGCTCTGACAGTTAAGTCGACTTAAAAAAGTAAAGTTGGCTTAACTATCAGAAAGTTAGTACATGTGTACACGCCATTTGTGAGAAAGGTGGGAGCAGTTGAGAATTACCTTGCCTCTCTTGTTCGGCAAATTTTTGTAGACTGCAGTAGCTCTGTTATGACTTCCTCTAGGATTGCAGGCTCTCTGGGGGAATGGCTTGATATAGTCTTCACAGAAAGGAAGAGTCATCCCTCCACATCACGCTGGACATCCGCACAGTTTTTCACAAGATTTATAACCCTAACAAGGCTGTTAAAAAAAAAAAGAAAGCAAAAAAGCAAGGAATGCAGCCTGGTTCTTATTACCAGGACAATGATGAGTGTAAATCTCTCCGCTGGACACAGAGTAGGGTTTGGATTGCAGTGAGTAGGGTGGCAATGGCAAAGACGAGAGAGAGACTTTCTAGTGTGAGCGCTGAGGGTGTTTCCCAGGCAGGGACAGGCCCACGATGGCCACAAAGTCCCCCTAGCATGCCCCATGTGCTCGCTAACATTGCATAACCCCGCAAGAAGAAAACAATATTCAAAAAATTCCTCGTGGTCTCGCTTTGCATTGAAACAACATGTTGTGTAGCTCTGTCTCAGGGAGGGATGTGAAGAGAGGCAGCTGACTTGTCCCTACCCCTGAACCCTAGAGAAGTGGAGGCTGGCTTTTAACAATGGAGGGATCCTGGCAATGGAAACCATGCCCTCATGCTCTGCAGCAAGTGCCTGTTATTTCCTGGCTTTCCCAACACCAATCCAGGCTGTTTTTGCAGGCCCTGGTTTCCTTGGCTCTGGGCTGGGACTCAAGCAGGCTGCGTGGGCTGATAAGGGTTTGTGCAATAGGGCCACGGTGATATTATATAGTGGCAATGCTAATGAAGTCAACAGAACTGATTTGATAAGGAGGCCTCCGTGACTTTCCTGGGGCAACATCCTCAGGACTTTCATTACTTGTTTTTTGTACCCCTGCCATGCTATTCACTGTGGAAATGAATGATGTCCTCGCTGTAGCTCTCTTCCAACCAAATTGCATGCAATCTTCTCCAATAACTTCCCGTGAGAGGGTCTCCTCTTTGTTGGGAAGCTTTGTTGATGCCAGGCCTGGTTTAAATTTGCAATGAAATGCAAAAATGTTCGGGGTACACGTTACACCTCGGCTTCAGAGGCTGCGGTTCCAGCTGTGGGACACCAGCCCCGTCCTCTCCTCAAAGAAGCCCCGAGGTGAAGCAGGCTGGGCTCTGCTGCCCGCTGTAGGAAAGGACTTGTCCGTGTTTCCAAAAACCCTGCGGCCCCTCAGCCACCGGACCAGGGGGTCAGGATTTGCTCTACGATGCAAAGATCTCAGCCCCCCCCAGAGAGGTGCTGACCTTGTCCTGGGCACCCCTGCGTTTTGCCTTCACAGTATTGAGAGATGACCATAAAGGCACCTTTCTGAAGAGCAAGGTGCCCCAGGAGGAGAGCAGGGTGCTGCCTAGCTCACAGATGAAGCATCAGGACGCTCTCTGAGAAAGGCAGATTATTGTCTGCATTATACAGAGAGGAAAACTGAGGCAGCATGAAGTTAAGTGACTTGCCCAAGGCCATCTATACAGGGGAGTAGACAACTGGCTCCAATCTCTATGAAAACATCTGTCTTTCCTTTCTGTGTCAGGTGCACCTCTCCTCTCCAAACACCTTTCTCTTATCCCCATTGCACAGGTAAGGACCCGAGACACAGACAGGCGATGTGATGTGTCCAGAGTCACACAGGAAGCCTGTGGCAGAGCACAGGATGAAGCCCAGGTCCCCCGAGTCCCAGCCTGCTGCCCTCACCTTAGCCGTTCGGCCTCAGGGTTTCCTTCTGTAGCAATGTCGCAGCACCTCTCACATAAAATCAGGAGCAATAGCCCGTCAGCTTCATGGCTTTTCTGCCTCTTCGCCCCTTTGGGTTTTGAATGCCTCGCCTAGGGGAGATGGGGATGGTTTTGGTCATGTACTGGGATTTTTGCTCATGTCTTAGATTGGGAAGGGGTCTTTTTGATTCATAGCTGATGCTTTCCTTTTTGACCCCGAAGGACCGGTTTGTCTCCAGCGGCGCCTTGCAGGACCTGCAGAGTTACCAGAACTCCCGGTTCGGTTCCTGCATCGCGTCTGTCCCTGACCTGAACCAGGACTCGTACAATGACGTTGTCGTTGGCGCCCCTTTGGAAGATGATCACCAAGGAGCCATATACATCTTCCACGGCTTCAAAGGAGACATCCTGAGGAAGTATAAGCAGGTACAGTCAGCTATCCCTGGGGTTGCCCCACCACTTGGTTGGAACAGGTGCAATGTAATCCTCTTTTCCAGGGTCCTTTATATAGCTGCCAGTATGAGAGAGAAGCCCTGTGGCAATACAAGCACACGCTATTAGTTATAGTATCTAAAGGTGCTCTAAAAGTGAGGATCACACCTGAAGAGAAGGGAAAATATGGCTTCAAATTGTTTGCAGATGAAGTGTCTCCCATATTCAACCAGGGCATTGTCAGCCAAGGCTCGTGGCCACAGGTAATTCTGTGGGATGTGTCTCCAACCAGACGCAACGTGACAAATGGTTGTCACAATCAGATCGTACGATCGTAGAAAATTAGGGCTGGAAGGGAGCTCAGGAGGTCGCAGCTAGTGAAATCCACCCCCTGCTCAAAGCAGGACCAGCCCCAACTAGATTCCCCAGCCAAGGCTTTGTCTTGCTGGGCCTTAAACACCTCCAAGGATGGAGATGCCACCACCTCCCTGGGTAACCCGTTCCAGTGCTTCACCACCCTCCTCGTGAGAGAGTTTTTCCTACTATCCAACCTCAATGTCCCTTGCTGCAGCTTGAGCCCATTGCTCCTTGTCCTGTATCTGCCCCCACTGAGACCAGCCCAGCTCCATCAAGATCATTTGCATCCAGATCTCCAGAGCTAAGGTCAGGTACAGCTGGTCTTATATAAGATCACAGGTCCAAATCTTCCCTACATCTATTAAGCACATCGTCATGCATCTGCCTGCCCAGTATTTTCTGTATTTTGAGGTCAGCTTATTGTTATCTGCAAGTAATTAGTAATTAGCCAGAGAACCTGTTTCTGCAGATCCTCCCCCTGCAAAATCTCGGCACTTCTCAGGGCGACGTGTCAGCCACGTGAAGTCAAAGGGAGTTTTGCCATTGAATTCAATGGAGTTAGGATTGCACATTCACTAGGCTTATAATTGTTCCATAGTGTGACTGGAAAAGAGCTTCTAAGCTGAAGCAAATGTGGGATTTTGAAAAATATGCCTAAAATGGAAACCTTAGGGTTCAATGTCTTGGGACCATATGCCTAAAATGGAAACCATAGGGTTCGATGTCTTGGGACCAATTTAGTAAACGTATAACAGAGCCATTGCCACAAAGCAAGAGAAAAAGGTACAGCCACCCCTTCAAAGTCTTCTTGGGAAAGAGCTCTGGTACAGAAAAATGTGCCGTTTTACTCTCAAATTATGTCAAATGTCTTTTCCTACAGGCATCTGGAAGGGACTTTTTTAATAGTGAGGTGTACATCTGAGCGGTCTAAAGTTTGTGATCCATTCAGTGATCTCGACTAAATGCAACATGAAAGAGATGTTGCTCCATGAGAGCCCACTTTAATTTCAATGGGCTTGTTCAGAAACCAAGCAGGAGGGTGCGTGTTTTATAGATCTGGGAGTTGGTGTGCCAGAGACGATCACTTTACCGGCATTCAAACAGGTGAACTGAATCCAGTCGTAGACGGCTTTTAAGAGCTGAAGGGCCAACCCACTGCTTCTGTATCCCATGAGTGTGCCATGACACATGCATGGGTATGCATTGTCTTGCACTTACCAGTGAATTTATGTCCCTTGTCTATGTTCCCACCCGCAAGCTCACACTCTTCCATCCTCACACCCCCTCATGCCCACGTGGAAACACACACCAGTGCTCACCTGCACTCCCCCCTGTGTTTGCACACGTGCTCACGAGCATACAGGCAGCTTGATACTGGGCTGCTCAGACTGGCAATGCAACAGGTTTCTTTTGATGCTTTTTAGAGAATAGCAGCAGTCGACCTTGCTTCCGGCCTGATGTATTTTGGATGCAGTATCCACGGACAGCTGGATCTGAACGAAGATGGCCTCACAGACCTGGCTGTTGGCTCTCTCGGGAACGCTGTGCTATTATGGTTGGCTATACCTCACATCTCTGTTACTGTTCTTGCACTCACGTTCGTCCTGGAAAACTATCGGTCACGAGGACAGCTGATCTTGTATAACAGTGCTGCTCCCAACCCAGTGGCTCTCGAATCACAGGTCACTACTGAGACCCCCCCCCCACCCCAACATTGCTTGGGGCTACAGGAGGTTTTGCTTCCTGCAGGGACCTGTTTGTCTAGGCTGGACGGGCGAACGCTGCCTGCAGCACATGTCCTGTCCTCTGTTATTGGGGCAGCAAAAATTGGGGACCCTCAGTGAACCAATAAGCAATGCAAGAACTAATGTTCAATGCAATTGTACCCCAGGGCCAACATCTTCCCTCGCTGAACTTCCAAATCCCACAAAGATCAAGACTTCATACTGTTGCCCCAAGCTCTCATTTAGTCAATAAATGAATACATTAAGGCAGTAATTAATGCTGGGAAAGCACCTTGAAGACACAAGGACAGAGTCTCAGCTGGTCTCATGAGCTGGTTCCAATGACGGCCGCTGAGCTGGGCTAATGTATTACACCAAAGGATTGACCTCAAACCTGCTAGATAATTGTATAGGGCTGGATTCCCTTCTTGGTTAGGATAACGTCGCACTAGTCCAAGTACCTGGGGTTGCAGAAGAGAGTTAGGCCCTCAGTAGTACTATCCCAGACTGAGCAGTGTTCAGTGGTGTCCTTCAGTCAATGCCACCCGTAAGGCCCCACGGGGCTCTGATAATTCAGGTAGGACACCAGTATGTATCCAGCCATGGTCATTCATAGCCAGGGCTTCCCCCTTGCCTGGCTGTAGCTCACCACTGGTCCCTTAAAAGTTTTGAAGTCACCCCTCGCAGGTGTCTTCTTTCTCAGACCCCTTTTCTGGAGCATCTGGATTTATGGAGCATCGTTCCAGAGGCCTGGCGCCTTTACAAAGAGGTGGCTGCAGGCTCGTTGGGGGGTCACCTATAGGTAGCTGAAGGAGTTTGGGACCTACAGAGGGTTTGGGAGGGGGCTGTCCTCTAGCCTGGTTTACACATCCAAAGGTCAGCAGCGCCCAGCGTTGTCGCATCCCTTGATCCCACGGCAGGTCCCGCAGCGTGGTCCAGATCAATGCCAGCATCCGGTTCGAGCCATCCAAAATCAACATCTTCAACAAGGACTGCAAGAGGAACGGCAAGGATGCCACCTGCATGTCTGCCTTCGTCTGCTTCACCGCTGTCTTCCTCTCGCCTCACTTCCACACCGCCAGCCTGGGTGAGTGAAGCCTCCCGCTCCCGTGGGGAGCAGCTTTTGTACCCAGCCAGGGAGGAGCAGGTCCACGTCAGTCCTGGGGATGCAAAGAGGGGGCTGAGCTGAGAGCTGGCTTGCCCACACATGGGTTCACCTGGCCTGCCCCGTTCTCTGCCCCTGCCCCAGCCCTGGGCAGCTTGCAATGGTGGAGTAGGGGTGTCAGGTGCTTTCAGCCTCCCAGTGCTCATCCCACAGGTCCCAGAGGTGCAAAATCAACTGGTGTGTTTTCCCTGCACTACTTCTGGTTGGGGAGTTCAAGGGCACATACCACGGTGGGTGTCCCCGTGCAAAGCCTGATGCTGGCACTGGGTGGCACCAATATAGCCACAGTCCACACAACCCCGCAGTGCACGGGTGTTCATCCATGCACGCTGCGTGCAGCCTGGCCAGCTGTCAGGATCAGGGAGAATGTGGAAAATGGAGCCACGACTCAATCTCTGTGCAAAACCGTGTGATTTTTGTTAAAGACGGCTCCCGGTGCTGAGGTTCTTGGGTTGTGATGTGGAGGGCGAGCTTGGACTAATTCCTTATGAGCTGGCCTCACCTCCAAGGTCTTTATCCTGGGCTAAGGGCAGGGCCTCGCAGATAAGTACCCAGGAGAGGGTAGGGATTTACTATCCCCTACACTGTACCCTCCCTACCCGCTATTCCACTGTAACTGCCTGCCTGTATGCACGCTCTTATCCCACGATAAGTGAGAGAAAACCTGTGGGCATCTCCACTTCATGCAAAAGAGAGTCCACATTCCTGGCTGACTGTTACTCCATGGAAATGGGTCATTTCAGCTCCCTGAGTAAATGCAGTGCATGATGTTTAAGTATTTATCTGCTATAGACTCACGTGATGGGCAGTAATGCCGCTGAAGACATCTTCGCTGCGGTGCCTGTCACTCCAATGAGAGATTGTTCCTCTTCCTAAATATGATTGCAAAGGAAAGAGGGCTTGGCTTTCCTTTATCTCAGGGTAAGACCATGCACACAGGCTCTCATTGCAGAGGAGCCGATGCCTACGAGGCATGCAGCAGCCAGTTCCTGCGTCCCTGCCCCCAGAAGCAAGAAAACAGTTGCTCGTTTGGAGTTTCTTTGTGCTGATCATCGTGTTTGCTCTCACAGCCTGGCTAGTCCTTTGTTCTGGGCCATCCCAGTTTGCAAAGAGAGTCAGCACAAAAAATGTGCTATAGGAGCAGCACAGAGAATCAGCTGCTCTCAGGCTTTGACTGCCTGGCACATCTGGGCCCCGCATGCAAGCACATTGGGTTAAGGCCATAAACAGCCTTCACGGTCCAGTTGGTCCTGTTTGGGTTTTAAAGCACTGCACATTGCTGTGACCTGAAGCCTACACACGGGATGCTGCGACTCAGCTAGAGCAGGGAGGAACCACGAGCAGCGCAGACTCAAACCCACCCAAAATCAACAGCACGGTGTTGCAGCAGCTTGCATTATGGAAGTAATCGTGTCGCCATTGAAGGCACTGGTAAAATTCTCGGGGAGGCTGAGGTTTCGGGCCACCGCGATCAAAGCTGATATTTTATTTGCAACCTGTCCTGACACCTTAGGAGTTCACAGAACAAGAAGTTACGTGAGATTTTGGAAGTGACAGAAGAACGAAGAAGGTTATAGCTCCAAAGTGCCGCACAAAGCTGGATTTTTGAATGAATGTGTGTGTTTGCATCTGGTTTCGCTGTGCCTAGCAGTGCATTTCTGGTCACTTTTATGTTGCTGGGTTTTGTTTCGTTTTCACAACAGTATTTAGGAAGAAAAATTCTTTCTCATTAAAGTCTCCGAGAAACAACAGACCCCTGGTAAAGAGGCCTTTGGAGCCATACAGTCCAGCAGACACGCGTCTATCAGGCAGATATTTAAACATCCTGTAGATTATTTTTCTGAGTATCCTGAAACGACCTGCTTTCTGGGGTATTTTTCAACCAGGAACGTGGATACTTAACAAAAATGTCTGGGTGATATTCAAAAAGCCTGACCTCATCCTTTCTAATCCTTACAGTCTACTGTGAATACAGACACGCTCAGATCCATTACCTTCCTCATTTGGGGGCAATAAACTATTCTGGAAACTTCATATCTTCCAGACGTCAGTGTATCCAGGAGCTCTTAGCACTTGGCTTTCTCACAGCCTGGGGGGGCACATCACCGGTCCTCCCAGTGCGGGTAAAGCCATGCTGCACACAGGCCGGCTCCTCAACCGCTTTGTGCACGGTCGGAGCGGGCTGCGGTGGGTACCTGGAGGCCAGGCGGTGGTTGTGACCCTCCTCCCGCACTGGCCCACCTCTCCACTTTTTTTTTTCAATGAGGTTTGCAGCATTTTTGCTGCTGCTTTGTGTTTCAATGGGGTTTGTGGTATTTTTGCTGCAGTCACACCCAGGAGCCCAGCTCGCAGACCGAACTCTGCTGTGCGCGGTGCGGTACAAACACCAAACGAGAAGTGTGAAGGGGCTGGACGCCCAGAGACTCAGTGCTGGTGTCCATGCATCCTTCATGAGCCTTTCCCCCCTGAGCTCATCAAGGTTATTCGTATCTTTGTCACCAAGCAAGGATGGGCTGTTTATAGACGACGGCTGGAAAGCAAGAGCTAGTTCAAAATACAGCTTGTCGGGTTGTGGGCTCACCTCACTTTAATAAGGAGGTTTCTGTCTTCGTGCCAACAGCACCCAGACAGCCGTGGGACTGCTCTTCCAGCTCTCTGCAACTCCACGTATCCCATATAGATATGCAGTCCTCATGCATCTATCACCTGGAGCGTATAAGACTTGCATACTGTGATACGCACCAGTGTCCATTTTTTCTAGGTGCAAGGCATGGCAGTAGCTCGGATCTGGGAAATCCCTTGTACGCTAGGCTGGGACTACATCAGAGAGAAACAACTTCTCTTCCTGATGGTTCAGGATACCTACAGCCCACCCCTAGATTTAATTATGGAGGATTCATGGCTCCAGGGAGCACTCATGAGTCCCAATTCTGGAATTTGTCTCCCTTGTAGCTGCCAGAGCCTAATCCTATGTAAGCCTCATCTGTGCACTCTTCTTTGGCTGCTTAGGCATGATAAGGAAAGCCAAGGCTGCAACTGAACTCCAGCTAGCTTTGAGCATCAAGGACAATAAAAAGTCCTTTTTCAGATCTGTGGGGAGCCGGAGGAAAAGCAGGGGCAACGTTGGACCCCTGCTGAACCAGATGGGGCAACTGACAACTGACGCCCAGGAAAAAGCCAACCTATTAAATAGGTACTTTGCGTCAGTCTTTCATCAGTCCCATGGGACGCCCATGCCCGCTACAGGGCCGGGAAGTCCGGGTGAGGGTGATCCCCTGCCCTCCCTTAATGCTGACTTTCTGAAGGAACATCTTGAGAAGCTGGATACCTTCAAGTCAGCTGGCCCTGACAATCTTCACCCCAGGGTACTCAAGGAGCTGGCGAGCATCATAGCCCAGCCTCTAGCAAGGATCTTTGAAAACTCTTGGCGCTCTGGTGTAGTGCCCGAAGACTGGAAGAAGGCCAATGTGGTGCCTATCTTCAAGAAAGGGAGGAAAGTGGATCCGGCTAACTATAGGCCCATCAGCCTGACTTCTATCCCGGGGAAGATCTTAGAAAAGTTTATTAAAGAGGCCATCCTTAATGGACTGGCCAACGCCAACATCTTAAGGGATAGCCAGCACGGGTTTGTTGCGGGTAGGTCTTGCTTGACCAATCTCATTTCCTTCTACGACCAGGTGACCTATCACCTGGACAAGGGAGAAGAGATTGATGTCATATATCTTGACTTCAAAAAAGCCTTCGATCTGGTGTCCCATGATCGCCTCTGGGAGAAACTGGCCAATTGTCCCCTTGGGTCCTCCAGTCGGACCCAGAGGGTAGTAATCGATGGAAGTCACTCATCGTGGTGTCCTGTGACCAGTGGGGTCCCCCAAGGCTCTGTCCTTGGACCCATACTGTTCAACATCTTCATTAATGATGTGGACACTGGAGTCAGAAGCGGACTGGCCAAGTTCGCCGATGACACCAAACTTTGGGGCAAAGCATCCACACCAGAAGACAGGCAGGTTATCCAGGCTGACCTGGACAGGCTCAGCAAGTGGGCGGACGAGAATCTGATGGTGTTCAACGCCGATAAATGCAAGGTTCTCCACCTTGGGAAGAAAAACCCGCAGCATCCTTATAGGCTCGGCAGTGCTATGTTGGCTAGCACTATGGAAGAAAGAGACTTGGGGGTCATCATTGACCACAAGATGAACATGAGCCTGCAATGCGATGCGGCGGCTAGTAAAGCGACCAAAACGCTGGCTTGTATCCATAGATGCTTCTCAAGCAAATCCCGGGACGTCATTCTCCCCCTGTACTCGGCCTTAGTGAGGCCGCAGCTGGAGTACTGTGTCCAGTTTTGGGCTCCACAATTCAAAAAGGATGTGGAGAAGCTTGAGAGAGTGCAGAGAAGAGCCACGTGCATGATCAGAGGTCAGGGAAGCAGACCCTACGATGACAGGATGAGAGCCCTGGGGCTCTTTAGCTTGGAAAAGCGCAGGCTCAGGGGTGATCTGATGGCCACCTACAAGTTTATCAGGGGTGACCACCAGCATCTGGGGGAACGTTTGTTCACCAGAGCGCCCCAAGGGATGACGAGGTCGAATGGTCACAAACTACTTCAAGACCGTTTCAGGCTGGACATAAGGAAGAACTTCTTTACTGTCCGAGCCCCCAAGGTCTGGAACAGCCTGCCACCGGAGGTGGTTCAAGCGCCTTCATTGAACACCTTCAAGATGAAACTGGATGCTTATCTTGCTGGGATCCTGTGACCCCAGCTGACTTCCTGCCCTTTGGGCGGGGGGCTGGACTCGATGATCTTCCGAGGTCCCTTCCAGCCCTGACGTCTATGAAATCTATGAAATTTGTGCTTTCTCTGGAGTCTACTTGTGACCTTATCCAGGAGTTAATTGTAATGAATTTCTGCTCCATTGCATCTGAGCTTAGAGGCTGTGCTACGATATTACTACATAATGCAAGCAGGGAGGTCGTTTAGCAGCAGCTTTGTCATCTCAAAAATGTTAACCGTGTCAACGAGTCCAGGGCTGAGCATCTTTCTCTCTTTTTTTTTTTCCCCAGCAATAAAATATAACGCCACCATTGACGAAAGACGGTACACGCCGCGGGCTCACCTGGACGAGAACAGCGACAGGCACACGCACAAGAGGGTCACGCTGTTGGCGGGACGGGAGCACTGTGACAAGCTGAACTTCCATGTGCTGGTAAGTGGAAGTGGCCCTGACCCCAGGGGCCCCGTCCCGAAGAGAAGCCCCCCAGGAAGCAGGCAGGTAGGCAAGGGGAAGTGACCCCAGGGCAGCCCGTGACTTGTGAGGACGGGCCCCTGTTACTCGGACCTCAAAAATGTCTTCTGATGTCCTTGCCCAAACTCCAGGCACTTGTCACAGCTGTAGAGCCCCTTGCATGGGTGACTGCGGCGAATTAAGGCTCCTGAGGGTTACAGACCAGCCAGGAAAGAAGCATTTGATGCACAAACTGGACCAAACTAAACACACGCAGATGGGACAGAGGAGACAAACCTGGATGATAAAACCTTCATGCTTTGGGGAGGTTTCAGTCCTGGTCTGGAGGGAGCTTCCCTGACCCCCGCCTCACACTCCTGTAGGCTTCACTGGTGCTGGGATCTGAATCTACAGTTGAGATGAGGAACGAGGAGCCTCTAACACTCTCCGGGATTGCAGTGAGGGCCAGGCGTACAAACGGCACGTGCACAGCCCTGTTCAACGTGTGGCCCATCAGCACCACAGCGGTGGCTGTCATTTCCAGCGTTACAGCCCCAGGGACCCTGGGTTGGAGGAAACAGCACTTCCTTCCGGGATAATCAACTCTTTCGGAGAAAGCGATCTGCTTTCCTAGCACCCCCGTGCCCACGTAGATGCATGTGCACCAACAAATGTACTTGTACGTGCATGTCGTGCTATTTGCATAGCCAATGTGCAATACCCCGTGTTAAGGTGCTGTGCTTGCTGCTTCAGGCCTTCAAGTCAAATTCTTGAGCCGTAAGATGAAAGAAGACGGTGTGTAAAGTGTTATTGCACTAGGCATGCCCATCGTTTTAACGGTGCATTTCCTCCGCCTCTAGGACACAGCAGACTACGTGAAGCCGGTGACGTTTTCGGTGGAATATGACCTGGAGGATCCCAGCAACGGCCCCATGCTGGATGACGGCTGGCCAACCTCCCTTAAAGTCTCTGTACGTAACAGCATTTAGACTCCGAGGAAAGTACTGTGCCTAGGATAGGCCGTAGCAGAATAAGTCATGGCTCGCACTAGTGATCGGTCTAGTGATCGCACTAGTGGGGGTCGGACTCGATGGTCTATTGAGGTCCCTTCCGACCCTAACGTCTATGAATCTGTGGCACCTTTCAGCCAAGGACAGGGAGAGGGAATAAATAGCACCGTTTGATAACAAAGCCAAGGCACAGAGAAAACATCCCTGCTCTTGTCCCTGGAGCTCAACGTCAAGAGAAGCATCGTTTGAAATACAGTAAGGGGCCCGGGCTGCGGTCCACCACTTTTCCTCTGCTGTGCTTGTAACTCTAGGGTACATGGCAAGGCTCTAGCAGCTGGGAAATCCCCCTGTGCACATGGAGAGTGTAAAGTTGGTGGGAACGATCCCATCGCCCCTGTGCTGGAAAGCGGGTCTGGGAGGCAGGGCAATGGCAGCACAGGGTGGGACAGGGCTGGGGCCTATTTCCAGCTCCCCAAGAGACTGCATCTCAGTGGCATAAGGCAAGGAACCCCTGAAGGACTTAGATGGGCAATCAGCCCCAGAGAGTGCAGCACCCCAAAACCATCTTTATGCCTGCACCGGTTCTGAGCCAGCCAGGAGCCTAGCTAAGGACAGTAGCCTTCTCATACTTGCATATCACCCATGAGGTTGCTGGCTGTGGTGCTGCTGGTGTGTGAGGCATGCATTTCAGTGAGGAGTGCAAGCCGCTGGCTTTCCACCTTGTAGACAGGCTAAATCCAAGGTGCGCAGATTGCATAAGCAACAGCTTACTTCATTAGCTGCTCCGCTATGAAGGGAAATTTGAGCAGAGGGTTGGACTCGATGTGACCTCCTGAGATCTCTTCCAGCCCTCATTTCCTATGAGCCTATGACATTCCCTTCCCTTGCACAGGGCAAATTCCCATAGCATCTGTTGAAGCGAGCTGTTGCTCATGAAAGCTGATGCATCGGGGATTTAGCGAGTCTCTAAGGTGCAGCTCTCCCCTGCTTCTACCTGGGGCAATTGCACTCTGCTGCTTTCAGATCCAGATTCCTGGGCAATTTCTGATGGGCAGAGAAATCAAGCATGAAGTCCTCACAGTTGGTTTATGATCTGTACTAATGCATGGAGACATCTGTGCTTTGCAGGGGAATTAAAAATGCAAAGCAAAAGCAAGCCGAATGATAACCTTGGTCGGCTAACTTCCCCCACCTTTAGCTTCCACCCAGGGAGACGAGCCACAGGATGTCTGTCCTGTTAGTCTGCATTGCATATTATTGATGTGGTACTTTTGGCATTCTCTATTTGTATGGTGGGGTTTTTGACCCATTTAACCCCTGGGTTTTGTGTGGCTGACACTTGCACAGCCTGTGCGAAGTCCGCTCCGCCGGCATCGGGCAAAGACAGGTTTATTTCAACGTTTCTTGTCTTTCCCCCTTGAGGTGCCTTTCTGGAACGGCTGCAACGAGGATGAGCACTGCGTCCCCGACCTCTTCCTTGATGCCAGAACCGATATCCCGAGTGCCATGTGAGTAGATGGCCCAGTGAGAAATGCCCCGTTCCCCACCCAGCAGTGTCACAGAATGGGGCAGATATCTGAACTCAGCACATGGCCAGGTTTCTTCCTGCCAGAGGGGTTTATCCTGAACTCTGAAAGTGCCTTTTCTTCCTCTTTTTTTCCTTTGCCCTGGGGTTGATATCTCTTACCCGTGGATAAGCAAGAGAGCGCATCTGCAGGGTGTTCACAAATGACGAGCTCAATCGTAATGAAGAGCACGCCTGCATCTGGAGAACCACAGAGCTCTGGTTAGCACGTGCATCACATTTTCTGTTGGTTTCGTAAGGGTTTATCAAAACTGATGAGCTTTTGTTTCTCGGGGTTGCTGGGCTGGTCTTCATGATGGATTTCAGAGGCGTGTTCGGGAGGCGTAGCCGCTCCGTGCCCGCGATGCATTCACTTGGATTCCCTTTGCAAGCTCCGACCACGTTGCTGCAGGCTTGCCTCGTATCTAATGCAGACGAGCTAGCGACCCGCAGAGCCGGGTCTCCAGCCTTAGCACCAAGAGCTAAGAAAGTCAGCTCCTCTGCCTGCTTCTCCAAGTAAAGTGGCTTAAAATGCAGTCAGCTGGGGGATGCCTGGAAATCTGCTTTCTGACAGTAATTCTTGCCCTGTTGTTTTTCTAATCCCCGTTCCCTGCTTTGAGGTCTGTATAAACCAGTCTCCCACCCCTAACAGTCCCAGTCCCACCTGCTTGAGAAGGCGGCGGAAGAAATGCACAGCCCAGCGGCAGGGCGAACCACTGTTGGCAAAGCCGTCAAGTAGGATGTGCAAGATCCTTTCCAGTGCTTATTGTCACTACATGGAAATGGGCCATTATCCAGCTCCTCCCCGCCAAGCTCTCGGCCTTAACGGCATCCTGTGGCAATTCTGCTTCTGCGTCTTTGCGTGTTTCATTCATTTTTGCATTTTCCCTTTGCTTATCGTCTTTGGTTTGACTGAAATGCTTCCTGGCAAAAGCCGGGAGATTCCCATCCTTTTCGCCTCCTCTGCCCGCTGCCTTCTTCCAGAGCTGTGGGCTTCCTCTCCCGGGAGACAGTCCCTTTCTGGGCACAATCCTGGGACTTGTTGGTGACTGATATGATAAACCTTGTGTTTGGTGCCAGGAAGATGGACCCCAAGGAAACCAACCAGGAAATAAAAGGGAGAAAGCCAGTGTTACCCACTGAGCAATTAGGGGCTTGACGTGCCCCGCGGGAACAAGCTGATGTCTTGTTTTCTGTGAGCACTTCAAAATACTTCGTACTAAAAAGCTACGGGAGAGTAAGAGCCCCCTCCAGGGCCAGCTGAAATCAGGGGGAGGACTCCCCGTGTCTGCGCTGGGTTGGGATCAGGCCGTGAGGCTGGATCCGCGCTCCCTGAGTTTATTTTTGGTTCCTGTACTATAAACCTCATGGCTCTGCGATTCCAAGTCACGTTTCAGCCTAAAAGAGCCCTTGTGCTTGAAAGGATTTGAAATGCTTGTGCAGCATCCTGGAGCTGCAGGGAGCATTTCCATCCGTCCCCTAACACAGCTGGGCCTTTGGGTTAAAACCCAGGCTCGGTGCTTGGTAGGGAAGCAAGCTATCGCCCAGTTTGCTATAAACTCCAGCCCACCCCAGCCCCCCAAGGTAGACTTTTCCCACTCCAGCACAAGCAGGAGTCCTCCTTTCCTCTGACTCCTTCCCCATCGGTGCATCCTGCGGTGCGGCATTAGAAGCAAAGCCGTGCCCAGCTGTGACATGGCTCCGATTTTTCTTCTGCTTTGCTGTGCGTTCCCAGCTGTGTGGCCTGGCTGCCCATGCTGCAGTCACCGGGCTTAGGAAAACACGTGCTCGGATGCTGAACGTGTGCACCAGCTTTCTAGGAACCGGTGCACCGGATCAGGGGCAATGGCTCGCGGGAGAGTCGGCCGTGGTTGCACGGGGCGTAAACCCGTGCAGGATATTCCCAGATGAAGTTGTGTCGTGGCCTCAAAGCAGCGGTCCCCTCTGTGCTGATGCAAACACAGCACTCTTGAGCAGAAGAAGAGGTGGTGGGGGGACCTTAATCACAGTCTTTGCTGTATGGCTCTTGCCCACCTCCTACCCCAGTACACAGGTGGGTCGTCCCCTTGGCTTTAGGGGGGCTTCTCATTGCAGAGTTGTGTCCTTCGTGTTTCGCCTGGCTGCAAGGGTCAGAGAGCTCCGTGTACGGTCAATGAGATCGATGCTGGTGTGCACCACGTGTCCACTGACAACAGTGGAGGCTGAATCAAGCCCTGAAAGAGAAATAAATACAGCGATCGTTTGGGCCAAGAAAAGCAAACGGAATAAATCTCTGTTGCTAAACACTGTTGTGGTCACTCGACCAGCAGCGTGCAAGCCCAGCTCCAGCACGTTCCCTTCCTTTCCTTTCTGTTTTCATTTTACAAAATAGAAGTGATGCATCCATTGGAAAGGCTGCAAAGAGGGTACTTTGCCTGTTGCCGTAACAGAGCCCAGCCCCTTCTCTGGTGGGACTCTTGCTATCAGCAAACTTATACTGGGGAGAGGATTGGGGGCAACGACACTGAAGCTAAGCATTACCTTATACCATATTTTCATGCCTACAGCACGCTCCAAATAAATATACGCTTTGTTTTTGAAAAGCAGAATGAAGAAAGAAAAGGTTTTTCCTTGTGAGTCTCCACCAGCGGGAGGGTTGATGGGGGCAGAAAGCGGTAACATCAGGGAGGCGTGCATACAGCACATGCAGCTTTATTCTTGTTTTCCCTTGACAGAGGTTTAAGCAACAGAAACTGCTCTTATCATGTTTCCTCAATTATAATGCACCCCCCCAATTTCCAGCAGCTGATTTTGGGGGAGGACGTGTGTGTCATACACAGGGAAATACGGTATTTTGATATCAGACCTCTTTCTTCCTCTTCAGCGCTATGTTTTATTAGGAGATAATAGGGAGACCAGGCAGCATTACCTGACAACCACAGCAAAACAGAGCTTGCATCCAGTCTGCTTCAGAAACATACAGCTCCTTTCCTTGCAGACCTGCCTGGGACTTGACAGGGAGAGATTTACTTGCACTGTCACGGACACCAAGAGACGTGTATTTCTTGTTCTCTTTATCTTGGTGATAAGGAGAAATATCGGGTTTGTAAGCCAGTAGGTCCAGATGTTCAAACACAGCCTCTGATTTCTCTGCCTGGCAAACACTCCCGCAAGCAGCATCCTATACAAAACAGGACGTTGGTGGCAAACGGCACGGCAGAGTCGCAATCGTTCGGGGCCCCTCCGTTCTGTAGCTGGAGGGGACATTTTTGAGTCGATCACCTACGTGGTCTCTGGAAACAAGGGGCTGCAGCAGATTAGATGTCAAAGCACTTGAGTGAGCAGTAGGGTTTCTATAACACATACCAGAGAAGTGACAAGACCTGGGGAAACCCACTATAAAACCAACAAATAACCATCCTAAGAGGGACAAAGACAAGGCCAGGAAAACGTCTTGAAGGGAGCAAAAGACATGCCATTATCAAGACAACCAAAGGGGAGAAGGGGTGCAGATCACCCATGAAAGAGCAAGCAAAAGTGAGAGCTGTGGACCCTCGCCACACCTGCCAAGAAGAACTGCAGACCCCAGAGACACCCGAACGCCTGGCCAGCTGCAGGAGGATGCTCCGTCCTCAGGACAACCTAAGACTTATGCAAAGTTTCTGTTGAGTCTTAACTTGGGGGAGGTTTCTGCTGGTTCTTTGTCTTATGCTTAAGTTGTAGAATAAATGCTGTCTTCAAAGAAGGGACTATTTGTGCCCAAGCCACTTTCATGACTTCAGTGCCACCACCTCGATGCTTCCTCAGCCACAAAAGAAAGATGGGGGAAAGTGTGCGAGGCAACCTAGTGGCAGATGATGCAGAAAAGGCTGAAGAGCTCAACGCCTTTTTCACCTCGATCTTCATAGGCAAGGTCGACTCCCAGACTAGTGCACCAGGCAGCACCGTTTGGGGAGGAGGTGAGCAGCCAAGTGGTGAAAGAACAGGTTAGGGACTTGAAAAGCTGGATGTGTACAAGTCGATGGGACCGGACGCAAAGCACCTGAGGGTGCTGAGAGTCAACCGATGTGATTGTGGAGCTGCTGGGCATTATTGTCAAAACTCATGGTGATTGGGAGAAGTCCCAGACGATCAGAAAAGGGCAAATATAGTGCCCATTTTTACAAAAGGGAAGGAGGAGGATCTGGAGCACTACAGACTGGTCAACCTCATCTCAATCCCTGGAAAAATCATGGAGCAGGTCCTCGAGGAATCCATGTCTGAGCACTTGAAGGAGAAGGTGATTAGGAGCAGTCAGCATGGATCCACCAAGGTCAAGTCACACCTGCCCAACCTGATTGCCTTCTGTGATGAGATGACTGGCTCTGTGGATGAGGGGAGAGCAGGGGACATGGCATACCTTGACTTCAGCAAGGCTTTTGATACGGTCTCCCACAGCATTCTTGGAAGTAAGCTAAGGAAGTATGGGTTGGATGAATGGACTGTAAGATGAATAGAAAATTGGCTGGATTATTGGACTCAGAGAGTAGTAATCAATGGCTTCATGTCTAGCTGGCAGCCAGCATTGAGTGGCGTGCCCCAGGGGTCGGTCTTGGAGCCAGTTTTGTTCAATATCTTCATCAGCGACCTGGAAGATGGGATGCACTGCACCTTCAGCAAGTGTGTGGATGACACCAAACTGGGGGGAGTAGTAAATATGCTGGACTGTAGGGCTAGGATTCAGAGTGACCTAGATATATTAGAGGACGGGGCCAAAAGAAATCTCATGAGATTCAACAAGGACAAGTGCAAAATCCTACACTTAGGACGGAGCAATCGCATGCACAGGTACAGGCGGGGGTGACGGGCTGGGCCGCAGCGCTGCAGAAAAAGACCTGGGGGTGACAGGGGACAAGAAGCCGGACAGGAGCCAGCAGTGTGCCCTTGGTGCCGAGAAGGCGAACGGCATCCTGGGTGCATGGGTAGGAGCGTTGCCAGCAAATCAAGGGAAGTGATTAGTCCCCTCTATTCTGCATTGTGGAGGCCACGTCTGGAGTCCTGTGTCCAGTTTTGGGCCCCCACTACAGGAATGATGTGGACAAATTGGAGAGAGTCCAGTGAAGGGCAAGGAAAATGGTTGGGGGCTGGCGGACAGGACTGGTGAGAAGAGAAGGAGGGAACTGGGTTTATTTAGTCTGAAAAAGAGAAGACTGAGGGGGGATTGAATAGCAGCCTTGAATAGCAGGGGGGCTGCAAAGGGGATGGAGCTGGGCTGTTTTCAGTGGGGGCAGATGGCAGGACAAGGAGCAATGGGCTCGAGTTGCAGCAAGGGAAATTGAGGTTCAATATTAGGATAAACTCTCTCACGAGGAGGGTGGTGCAGCACTGGGACAGGTTACCTAGAAAGGTGGTGCAGTCTCCATCCTTGGAGGTGTTGAAGACCCGGGTAGACAAAGCCTTGGCTGGGACGATGTAGTTGGGGCTGGCCCTGCTTGGAGCAGGGGGTTGGACTAGGTGTGACCTCCTGAGCTCCCTTCAACCCTCATTTTCTGTGATTCTATGATTCTTTGATTAAGTTCAGGCGACAATATGGCAACAACAGCACCACATGTGTTTTTGTGTGCCATTTGGTAGCCACATGACCAAGTCAAATGCCAACTTATACCTGAGGTTTGCTGATCATGACATTGACACATACCTAAGGGGCTGATTTAAAGAGCTTGGCCTGTATAATTTTGGGTGCAGGGGATCAAAGACACACACCATTTTACAGGGAATCTCCCAGGCAAGTGCTGACTTGCTGGTTTTGCAAACTGACCCCAGCACTCTTTCTTGCCTATGCAGGGGTAAGACTCAGTGATCTGTTGAGGTCCCTTCCAACCCGAACATCTATGAATCTATGACCCATTTGTATAACCAGGTTAAATGAAGTATGAGTAAATGTCCATGTGCTTTGTTGGACCAGCTCTCAGCTCAGGGTGCTGTGTCAGTGTGTGCAGACCATACGTGCTGCCGTGCTCTCAGGTACAGAAAGAGCCACAGATTGCAGCTCCACAGCTGTATGCTGAAACACGTCCCCACGGGCTCTTGAAGCCTGATCCTCTCTTGTATCGCTTCACTTCTCTTGCAGGGAATACTGCCACCGGGTGCTCCGCAAGTCGCACTCGGACTGCTCCATCTACACCCTCTCCTTCGACACCTCCATTTTCATCATCGAGAGCACGAGGCGAAGGGTGGCTGTGGAAGCCATACTGGAGAACAAGGGCGAGAACGCCTACAGCACCGTCCTCAACATCTCCTTCTCCAAAAACCTCCAGTTTGCCAGCTTGATTCAGAGGGTAAGACACCCTGGGGCTTCTCTAGACCAGGCAGAAGGCAGGGTAGAGATGCACCTTTATAGACTGACCAGATTTAACATACGTAAAGAGAGCACAAGCTCTGCTGAACCCACGTTCACTTCATCAGATGCTGTGAAAGAACAGCACAGAGCAGTGTAAAGTGGAGTGAGTGGTTAGACTAGACTAGCAGGAGGGAGGGAGGACGGGGAACAAAAGCTAGGAACAAGGGGCGTGTGTAGACAAATGAGGGGCATGTGTGCATGACACTTTAAAGCGGGTTAAGTGCTTTTGCACTGCTTTAATGGTGTTGGTGTTTGCATGTGTTGGTGGCTCATCGTGCATTAATTCCAGCTGTTTTAGCACATTTGGTGGTGTAATGCACCTTAAATGACTTTGGGGGACAGCAAACGAAAACACCTCCAGGGTGTTTTAGTTTGCTGCCCTACAGCCGTGGAGTGAAGCACTGGGCTCTGTGTGGTTCAGGGACTGTGCAGGCAGCCCATGCAGGCAGCCCGGCAGCAGCCCAGGAGGGAATGAGATAAGACGTTATGGTCCCTGTTTAACCCATACTTAGCCTGGTCCAATCTGTGGATGATTTCTTTTTCCACTATTTCCCATTCAAACTGGTTTTAAACATTTTGTGGCCTGAGAACAGCTACCCTGAGGTCAGCAGCAGTGCATCTGGGGGGCTGAAGCCACCTGCCACGGGCGAGGGTGTCTTTCTGCAGCTGCTGTTCATGCACCCTTCTACCGTCTCCAGATGGGATCATACCTGTCTTGGGGACGGGTCGTGGCCAGTTATAAAAGAAATGACGGGCACCAAAAAGCATTTATTCCTGGTGATTTCTTATTG